ACTGTTTTTTTTTTTAAAGATTACAGCCAAGATTTATGGTAGAGTTTTGGCTGTGTGTGTGTGGCTTAATGGCAGTTTTATGATTGCCTTTCCATCGCTTGATTGATAGATGAAACGATGCATGGCTCTCGGAAAAGTATGTGTGTGTGTGTGTGGGTAGAGCTTTGAGCAATTGGTCTCAGCTGTTGTCAAATTTGTCACAAGACACTTGGAAAAACTTAAGCGCAACTTACACATGTAATAAAATACAGTAACAAAGACAACAAAGCCTCTAACCTCATCCCCTCTTAGTTACGTGGCTGCAACTGTAAGCCAATCCATCAAGAGCTGCATGCATCATACAACTACTCGAATTACTGCAAAGATACACAAATCCCCCCAAACAGATATACACAGACAAACACATGCATCACGCACATCCCAGCTTCATTTCCAATAGCAATTTTCCAACCCCCACCAAAACGCGGCACATCCCTTTCGTTGGCTAGGAGTGTCTGCTGTGTCTTCTATGATGTTTGCATTTATTTTGTAATTACTGTCACGCAATGTGACCATCAAATCAAATCAAACAGTTTCCCGTTTGGTGAAAGTGAAGTGAAATCCAGCTATAAAAAGTTCTTTAAGCAGGCCACCCCTTCACAATAATGAATTTTATTCAATGTTTCCAGTTTACGGAACATTTGAATTTGCCTTCGTAGTGAGTAAATAATGAAGCGAATGCGTTGGGTAAACCATTGGCCTATTTTTCCATATCAGAGTTTTGGAGCAACATTTTTGGTTGCATGATGTGTAGTCTTGCAGTAATTAGAAATATTTCAAAATGATTGGTTATGGAAAATGTTGTTAAATAAAATATCTCATCACTCAAATTATATCTGTGATCTATTTTAATATTTAATTCTTACGATATGCTGTTGTTATATATATTCATAAAATATAAATGAGAAAGCAAATTTCTTACATCAAAGCAATCATTAAGAAGTTGGTCAAAACTTTATTATTCTCTATAAAAATGATAATGTATAAAATGTAATGTAATGTAAAATTAAATGTATAAATGAGTTGCTTTACAATTAGCTTAAACTTGAGGACCAGTTTAATTATGAGTATATATGCGAAAGAAAAACATTTTTATAGAAATCATATGAGTGTACTGTAAATACATATGTAGACAGCGTATTTGTGTACAGACACATAGAATAAATACTCATTATTAATGCAAATTCTTTGCCAAGCTGTGCAAACAATTTGACACTTTCTCAGTGCTGAAGCAAATGTTTTTATTTTTTTAATTTTAAGACTGTAAATGCGTCAGAGCTCACATGAAAATGTTACCATATCTACGTAATATTATGGTGCTAACTGACGCAATAAATTATGAAATACGTTTACCTCTCTAAGATCACACTCGTATTAGCACTCTTCAAGAAATTACGAAAGGATTAGATTTAAAACTACAATGTCTGCGAATATTAATACATTTTGTATATCCAGCAATGCTGCAGCAAAACTTCCATTAACGTCAAATTGCGACAACTTAGATGGACAACCCACCACCAATTCAAACCCAACCAAGCTGGGCGCCTTCCAATTCTCAACTCAACCCGAAATGTAGGACGACAGTTTTTTTTCTATCCTTTTTTTTTTTGTTTTAAAACTTTGGCCATGCTTCTCTCTAGCCGGGTATAAGGTTCAATGCGTTCAATGCTTTTTAGCGAGCAATTTGAAATGCAACACAACGTGGCAAGGATATTTTTCACTTTGCAGGCGACAGGAGGCCACGTCGAAAATTATATATAAAATTCACGGCCAGGGCCATTCGCCATTCACTAGTCGACGTCGCGACTTGTGTTATTTGTTGCTGTTGCTGTTGGACATATCCGACCATCCTCGCCCAATCCAGTCGCAAACCCTGTCCCTACACAGGGTCTCCCGTTGAGTGCTGCCAATGTTAATCGAAGTTGTCTGCACAAAAAGAAGAACCAAAAAGAAGAAGAAAAAAGTAGGATAAAAAACTTACCTCGCCCCGTTATCACACGTATATGGGCAGACATAAAAACAAATTACATGTCGAGGGGGCGGTGTGTGGGAGGCACACAGAGTGCTGCTTAAGCGGCTTTATGTACAAAAATTGTAAATGGCATTTGTCTCTTGCTATATGTATATATGACTGTGTTTGTCTGCGTGCACTTCTTTCCGGTGTTATGGCGGCCAGCGGAAGCGGCTGCCGTTTGATTTTCTACATCATTTTTGTTTTTTTTTTCTCTCTCTCTGATTCTGAAGGTAAAATGAGGTATATTGGTTTTCTGAAATGTCCGTCCTTTAATTCGTCAGTGTACGCGTATTTTCTTGAAATTTGCAATATTTACGATACTCAATTTTGATGGGACATCCTGTTCAAGGATCAATAAAAAACGATCAATCAATCCATAATGTGCGAAATCATTATATCAGAAAGTGCACAAAGCTAGAGAGACCAAATTTGAAAAGTCGACTACTGGGAACACCATTCTAAGGTTGATTTAACAAATTCTCTATCAATCTTAGAGCTATAGTCGCAAAATCTTAGACACAATAATGTTTATTCAATGCACACTCATTCATTACCTCACCAATTCCACAATAAGGTTCCTTGCCGCTTAAGATCAGATGGTGCTACATTGGTATCAGAGTATTCCGTAGTCGGTTTTCTATTTTATTTGCAATCTTCTATTTTTTATCGTTGGCAAAAGTGCAGAAAAAGGTTACTGATATTGAAAAGTTTAGCAAGTATTTATTGTTGAACAGTAAACTCGGTTCATAAATAAGTCAGTAGTCAACGTCGTTTGAATTTGTGTTCAAGTTATGATGGTTATTTGATGGCTTTCCAATTGCAATTCTAATTCCAATTATATTGTTGTTGATGAGTTAATCAAAAAGGTCTTTGCGCAGTTATGTTATTGATAACTCCTAATGTTGAATTATACTGAAATTTATAAAATTACCATAAAACGAAAATCAGACTGAAACTGATATTAAAAATTTGTTATATTTTGTTTCTCAGAAATATTTTGTACCTTTAAGAAATGTTTTTCTAAAAATTATAAATGATAACAGATATTATTTAAAAATTATTTTTAAAGATCAGAAAAAAGTTCCATAATGCTCTGTCTCTATCTATGTCAAAGATCAGTTATTGTTTGACATGCAGGTCATATAGTACTTATAGAAATTAATAAGCTATCTTCATTTTTGGGTGTTAAAGGAAGTGTAAATATAAATACCATATTCATTATATACGGTCTTGCTTTGTTCTCAAATTATGAATTGTGACATTTGACCAATAAATGTGATTCACTCACAATCAACGACCAACTAAGGAAATGGCCAAATCATTCGTTCAAAATCAGTCAACAGGCAGTCGAAAAATGCAATCAAAGTTCAAAGTCTACAAAAATTGACATAATTAGTGGAATATGGCATGCGATATAAATTTCAAAAACAAAAAAAATGAAGTGAAGTTAAATTTTAATAAGCTAAATAAAGCGGCAAGAGAAATGAAGCCGCCAGGTTAAAGCGGCAAAGAAAACAGTACGCAAAAAAAAAAACAGCAGCCGGAGGAAGACATCGCATCGCATAATGCAAAGCCCCAGACAAATATGTGTGCCACCTTCAGCTCCCGACCCCAATCCACGTGTTCTCTTCACTCCGCACCGCTCCGCACGTACGCCGCAATATGCGACTGCCAGGCGAGACAGAGCCGAGATGTGTGCTATGCTTTTCTTTATGCATATTTAAAAAGCCACCCACCCAATAAGTATTCTACAAATAATAAGCGTAGTGAAGCGGCGTACATTATAAACCAGACTGGGTGCCCCATCCACACCCCTATAGCCGCTTTCACCGGTATTCAAGCGTCATGCCTCAGACCATTTTAGCCCAAAGTCTACATGGAATTATGTGAAGCTTCTGCTGTCTGTTGTTGTTTTTGTTAATGGAACAAAGCTGGCAGCGTTTCGGTGTTGTAGTTATTGTTGCTGTTGTTGTACTTGCTGTTGGTATTATCCTGCGACTGTGATTGTCTGTGCTGTTTGTAGTTAAAATGAGCACAACAGCAACAACAATAACAACCACCAAAAAGACAGGACGACAGGACACGGAGCGCCATTAAATGCGCAGCAGAAGCTAAAGCAAAATCAGAAGCTGTACAAAGAGAATATGCTAAACGTTTGACGAGACTCAAATATGCAAAAAATGATGAGCTAAAAAAAAATAAAAATATGTATATACATATATATATATATATTACGAAAAATAAGGAAAAAATCACGACACGTTAAAAAGCATATCAAAAGTCATGCTGTTGCAAATTGTAATGAATTTTACGGAATGCTGATTGCAAAAGACGGAAATGTTTGCCAGGAAAGCAGAATGTCATGACTCTCCTTGAAAAGTCAATCGAATAGGTATTTAAAGAATAAGTGAAGCTGTCTTAAGGAAGCATTGCTCTGAAGTTAAACACAGTCTTGAGACGACATTAATTATGATTAATTCTTAAAGATGTCAACTTAAGATTACATAGCAATTCGTTCTATATGTTTACTTTCGATGCAATTAATTAATCCTTTAATTGTTTGTCATTCATATAAATATTAATTTTATCTTATAAAACAACATCTTAATTAATATAATTATTTTCAAATGCGTTCCCTTAAACATTGTATTTATATTAGTAAAGCCAATTCTGGAGCTCACTATTTTGTTGAAAATTCAAATATTTATTTCAAATTTGTTGCGTAAGGTTTAAGAAAAACATCACGGCTTTAAATTATTCAGCACTGAATTTTTTGACGTCTTTCACAATTACTAAAAATAGCTATATTTGACAAATAAACGCAGCTAACAGCTGTTTAAATATGCCTTAAAATAAAATTGGCTGTGTTGGCAAAACTTCAGACACAATAAAAGAGCTTTGAATTGGACAAGATATTCATTATCGAGTTAGAAACACTTCAGCTAAGATGAGAACCCAAACCGTAATTCTGAGCTGTGCTCTTCTGGCACTTCTGGTTGCCTATCTTCCATCGGGAGAAGCAGTCACCTGCGCCGACGATCCAACCGACGTGGATTGCGTTGACTGTACTCTAGCTGACAATGAAGATGATCCTGAGTGCCTAGCTGAAGAGGAAGAGACCACAGATGCCCCAGTGGAAGCTTCGACAGAGGAAGCTACGACAGAGGAAGCTTCGACAGAGGAAGATGACACAGAGGTTACTACCGAAGAGGCTGTGGAACCGACCACACCGAGAGGCTGCGGTGGACAACGTCATGGTGGACGTGGCGGACGTGGTGGACGTGGCGGACGTGGTGGACGTGGTGGACGTGGCGGACGTGGTGGACGTGGTGGACGTGGTGGACGTGGTGGACGTGGTGATCGTGGTGGTCGTGGTGGACGTGGTGGACGCGGTGGACCCGGTGGACGCGGTGGACCCGGTGGACGCCGTGGACCCGGTGGACCCGGTGGACGCGGTGGACGTGGTGGACGTGGTGGACCCGGTGGACGTGGTGGACGTGGTGGAAGGCGCGGCGGCAGAGGAGGTCGCTTTTAGAAAACTACTTCCACACATTTCCAATAAATATAATGATTAAATAAATGGGAATATTAAAAGTTGTGCATTTTAAATCGGTCTTTCGCTCTGAATATGTCTAAAGTGTCCTCAACTATAACACTTAAGAAAGTCTATTATTTCATATTTCCAGCATGGTTTTGTGAAATGTAAAACTAGTGATGCGCTCGATGAAATGAATAACTCTTGATAGACTGACCGAAGTAAATAATATTGGTTTACTTCTTGATCATAGGTTAGTATTCGATAGGTTTATTAAAGCCTTTCAAGTTCTTGGTCTTATTAAGCGTTGGTCAAAGCAATTTGATGACCCTTGTAAGACCAAGATACTTTTTACTTTCACTAGATTGGTATTTCTGCAGCAGAGATTCTTACTTTTTGCACTTCGTCGTTATGACTGATGTGTTCTGCCTCGACTACTTCTTATTAACATTCTATCTATAACTTATCGTTGTTTTATGCTAGATGTTATGTTTGCAGTTAAGTTACTATATGGTGCAATAGATTCCGTTGCGCTGATGAGCCAAATCAATTTTTCTGCACCCTTATTTCTTCTATCTCTCAATCGCTTTACTTTATTTATTTTACAATTAATTCATCTATCTGGTGTTTGCATTTTATAGAAATATTAACTTAATTTTGTATTTTGGTTCCAATTGGCATCCGCTAATTCAATAAAATAGTTTCAAATTGAATTTAAGCCTTAATAAATGCGTTCTTTACACACATTATTCATATCATGATTAAAGCCAAAAATGTAAATTATTATTTTTATGATAATCCCAAAACAAGTCTTTAATGTACTTTCTTAAAACATTCTGCTTTCGTTGATTGCATAAGATTAAATGGAAACGTCACATTTAAAGGTATTCAGAATTGAATTTTATTACGCCTTTCAAAATCGCTAACAATATTTGACAAATAAACGCAGCTAACAGTTGTGTAAACTTACCAAAAAAATTGGAAATTTTGACTAACTTTCAGACACTATAAAAGTGCTTTGAATTGGAAAAGACAATCATTCTCTAGTTGGTAACACTTCAGCTAAGATGAGAACCCAAACTGTAATTCTGAGCTTTGCTCTTCTGGCACTTCTGGTTGCCTATCTTCCATCGGGAGAAGCAGTCACCTGCGCCGATGATCCAACCGACGTGGATTGCGTTGACTGTACTTTAGCTGCCAATGTTGATGATCCTGAATGCGTAGCCGAAGAGGAAGAGGATACAACGACTGAGGATACTACCGTAGAAGTCACCACCGTAGCGGATGATGACTCCACCGACGATGATGACGTGGACTACCCGTTCATAGGTTGCCGTAGACGCTGGGGACGTGGACGTGGACGTGGTGGACGTTTTAGGCGCGGTGGACGTGGTAGACGCGGTGGACTTTTTGGTTTCGGTAGACGTGGTAGACGCGGTGCACGCCGTGGACTTTTTGGTTTTGGACGTCGTATTTTCGGTAGACGCGGTGGATTTGGTGGCAGGCGTGGCGGCAGAAGAGGTCGCTTTTAGTAAACTTACGCTGCGACATGTCTAAGAAATATAATGACTAAATAAATGCGATTATTGAAAGTTGTGCTTTTATTCCTTTATTATTAGGATATTCACAAAATTAAAAGTTATTATCTTGACGGTAATGCCGATCTCGATCTTTGCACTATATTGCCAACAACCTGCCAAAACAAATTTGTTGACGTTCGATCTAAAATTTAAAATAACAAAAAACAATATTTTACAAATAAACGCAGATGTGTAAACTTTCCACAAAGGTTGCAAATTTAGACAAAGTTCCACAACGTGGCAAGCCTAGCTACAAATTTTACGAAATATTAATAAAGTTTAACATTCAAATAGATTTCATAATAATATATCTGAATTATGTAAGTCTTATAAATTGAACTTAATATTTCATAATTAATTAAAATCTGCTTAAGTGTTTTCTTATGCATCTGTTAATTATTTGCCATTCATATACATATACATTAGGCTTGGAGTTAAATTGCAGCTGTAGATTCAATAAAATAACTTATAGCTTAATAGAGTTGTTTAAAGTTACATTTCCTTAAATCTAGTATTTATAATATTCGCATAACTGAAGTCAATTGTTGAACTTTTTATTTGGATGATAGTCCCAATTTATTTACACTTCAACTTATTATTCTCTAATTCTGGCAATTTATATCTGTACTAAATGAGATAATCTTCTAACATCAAGATCTTTATAGATAATGTTTTAAACTACCTTATTTTATGAAAAATTAATATTTTTAACTTTATTAAAATTCAAGACACAATATGTTCTCTGCGATTGGTTTCATTAAAATAAAAAAAATGTTTTTCACAGCATTACAATCTGCAAATTAAATATATAGCACACCCTAAGTATTCCATCACACTCTCAATCCAACAAAACCACCCACAAAGTTTTGTCTAATGATGTGTTTCGTCCTCGTTTTTATTTATTTTTTATTTTTGCTTCTTTGCTGTGCAGAGCCCATGAAAGGTGTCAAAAAACAAAAAGGCATGAAAAGCAAATGCCAAATTAAAGCTTTGTGGTTCACTACAAGTGATTTTACGAAGGAAGTGAAACAAAAAAAAATTACAAAAAGCAGTCAAACATGACATAAAAAAAACCCGAAACGATGAGCACTTTCAGCCCCTCATTTGAGATGCAGCCGCTCTAGAAACTGATAGAGCACAGCAACCGGGGCTGGGTTATTGAACTGCCAGCCTGGATTCGGCACTAAAAAGTCGTACCTTATCGAAATGACAAGCAAATTTTAATCAACACACAACAAGCCGCAGCTGCAACACATTCGCCTGCTGACAACATCCTTTTCCCTCACCGGCTGAAGACGAGCCAAACATCACGTCGATTTTAAGCACATTGATTAGAAGTGCCCTGCCGATGAGGAGAACTGAGGGCTGACTCTGCGGACATCGGATAATAATAGCTGCTGCTCATGATGCCAACAGAGAGTTTTCACCGAGTGGCTGAAGCTGAGAATCAGGCTGTGGCAGGGCCTGTTTGATGTTGATTATGACAAAGTTGCTGCCTGTCTGATAAGCCTAAAAACTCTCAAACGATGAGCGTGCAAATTTCTACAAGGCACGGAATTTAAAAAAATAAAACTTGTGGCAACTTGCCGAAAATTTAATGCACTCTCCTTAAAATAAAATATACAAAAACTAACTTACGCAAATAAATATGTATTTATTATGAATCTAGTAAAACAATTGAACCCATAACTTTTACAGAGTATTTTCGACGCTTGCGATGCGAATGCCACAACAACGTTAAAGTCTCCTTCGGAAAGTGTATGCCAGGCACAATTCAGGAGGCGGAATTGAGAAAACAAAACAGGATGCGAGGCGTTGTTGCCGCTGCTTGCCTCCTGCATGCGACGCACGTGTCGCTCTAAAAAGCCGATCTAATCAAATGGAAGTAAAATGTGTAAAAGGTGGAAAATTTACGCTGAGAAAAATGTAAGAACAGCAGCAGGGAAAATAACCTAAAAAAAAAACGCAAACAGCAAAAAATGAACACTCAGTGTGTAAAATGGAAAATCATAACTCGTCGACTGTTATTTTTTTCTCGTTTTCTATACACACTAAAGTTCGTGCCACATGACTAGACATGAATTTGCAGCGACTTAAAGCTGAAAGTGTGTACTTTATTCTAGGTGGGCCGAGCTGAGTAGGAGACAGGATCAGGCTCAACCCGAAGCAGAGGGTATCATATACTAATTTCCATATGGTCAACCCTTTTTGTAGCAACGACCCAACATGAGAAATTTTAATAATTTTCAGTGAAGTTTTTGCCTGGCTTCCAGTGCGTTGCCTTTTGGGCTAATTGTATGCTAAACGTTTGGGGGGCTCGTATTTTTGGACGGGTGGCACCTTTAAAGCGCGGCTGGGGCTTTTCAAAGTTTTTGTGGCAGCTTAGAGTTGGTCTAACACCGACGACACTCATGCAGCATACATACACACAACTGATATATGGGATTTTGCCGGAGCTTAGAGTTTCACTTGGCGGCAACTGCGAGCCAAACTATCAACATGATAGCCGGGTAATGACTTTAATTGGTGGGATGCTTGTGCTGGTCGAGAGAGAAAAGTTAATATCGTCTATGATAAAGCATCGTTTTTGTGTTATTTTCATTGTAGCTGCTGTGGTTGGGTTATTTTTAATGATGCCAGCGCAGAATACGAGAAGAGTGCAGCATCTCCCTTACAGAATGCTATGTCAAGCGGAAGGTAGACAACAAGAAAAAAATAGGAGAAGACACCATGACCCTAATTGGCACTTATAACTAAAGCCCAACAAAGTTTATTTATAATAGTTAGTATTCATAAGTTTTGGTTGTCATTAGTGTTAGGTTTTATTGAATTTATTGCCCCCTTAGATTAGCATCTTATCAACTAAAGTCAACTCAAGTCGAAAAAGATCATTATCGAAAAAGCGGACAAGTTCCCTTCTTTGTAGCATTCCTTTGTAGTCAATTTAAAATATTATTGTTAAGCCTTTATTTGTTTATACTTGTTATTTAGATAATTTATTATTAAATTAATGAGGAGATTAAAGAGCCTCTTATACTAAATTTCACAATGTGTATATTCTCTTATTTGATGTAAAGATCTTTAACGCAAAAATAGTTTCCATCTCAGGACGGACCTTTACAACATTCCTTAAGGACTCTCACAAAATCCTGTGCTTGTAATTTTCCTCATTTTCACAGCATACTCGAAAGTAACCATTGGCATTCCATGAGATCCCTTCCGCTTTAATCGCACAGAATTTCGTTAAGCTCCAAAGAGCAAACTTTCCACCATCTCTCACTCTCCTTCGAGAAACTTACTCAAGTGGCCGCGTGTCGCCGGCGTTCATATAAGCTCGACTGCAATGCGTAGCCGGGTCGAGGCCATTATTTTCACAGTTCAACGATGCGCTAATACAAGGACAACGCTTGCACACTTTCT